GAAAAAGGAACTACCCTGTACACTGATCACCGGCTGTGTAGGGCAAAGGCTTTATTTGCCCAGCTCCCCTGGGGCGAAAAGCAGTATTTAATATACGCATAAACGATTTTTATCAGCCAAACTTTCAACCCTCACAGGTCCCCATCCGCCAGAACTAGTTTGCCGGTGCCTCGGGAAGGCCGGGGAGCTGCACCCACAGACACAGGTGTGACACCCAAGGCTCCGCGACGGAACCATTAATTATTGCAAAACCCCGGTGCCTTGCGCAGGAGGGACCCCGCTGACCCGGAGGACGCCGCGCTCCCGGCGAAACCGAAGCCCGGGACCCACGGCTGCTCCCCACGGACGCCCCGCAACCACCGCAAGCTCGCACAGCCCCAGACCGGGGACGGCAGCCGCTCTCCGCCCGCCGCACGCACAGCCGCAACCCCCGCCGCTCTCACCCAGAAGGTGGTGGAGTAGGTGATGAGGGTGAGCTTGAGGCAGAGGTAAGACAGCCGCCCGCAGTACCGCACTTGCTCCGCGTCCCCCGCCGCCATCCTCCCGCCCCGCCGCACCTGCCGCCGCCCGTCCCCTCCCCTTCCCGGCGGCCCGTGCCCGGCGGAAGGGAGCGGCCGCCCCGTCGGGCGGGTCCGGGGGCTGCGCCGCTTCCGGGAGCGGGACCGGCTCGGGGGCTGTGGGGAGCGTGGCGGGGATGAGCGCCGGGGGATGCGGAGGGTGGTGGCACAGCGCACGGCCGAGAAACACAAAGAACATGGGGCGGAGGGAAGAGGGAGGATGTCGGAAGCTGAATGAAAAGCTCCGGAGCGCTCCCGGCTGCGGCTTTTTGCTTTGTTTTATTCTTTCTTTTCTTTGTTTAGCCGTTCCCTTGGCAGACGCCGCGCTGGCGAGGGGCTGCGGCTGCGGGACTAACCCCACAGCAGGAGTCGGCATAAAAAATTGCATCGCTACGCAAACAGCCACCTCGCAGTGCTGCCGGAGCGCACACGCGTCCACAGACCTCGGCAATTGCCATGGAAAACTGCGTGGGCAAAAATACATAGGCTGGGTTTTTGATTAAGCATACATAAACAGTGCAGAGCAGAATCCCTGCACTTTACAGGAGCACGATTAAGCAATACTAGAGCATTTACCTTTAATTACAACACCCAGGCAATTGCGTGTGCAAAGAGGGTCCCATCCTGCAAGTAACACAGCAGAAGTGCAACAGTTAATGGGCATATCGGACTGGCCCCATTTTCTGCTTATGCCGACGTTTATCCACATGCCTCTGCTGTGACAGTGGGCCAGTGTTGGGTCTTACACAGCGATCATGAACTGCAAACACCATTCATGCCTACGAGATGAAATAACCTCTTTCAAGCTGGCAGCGCTGCACTCCTGCCCCACAAAGGGCTATTTTCCTCAGGGAAAAAAAGTCTCATTCAAAGTGGCAGACAACTGTCACAGAGTTGGTTGTTGCATCCTGGCCCAGAGCAGACAGACAGCATTGAAAATCAGTGTCTGGTATCTGAGAAGATGAAGTGCAGCAGCATTTATTCTTAAGTTACCCGGCAAAGAGATTGTGGAAAACCTCAGAGCTGTATATGTAAAAGTGGTCAGTCACACAACATTTCAGTAGGTACATACCATATAATAGCAGTTGCTCCCAAAACCTCTCTTATAAAGCCTAAATCTGTTACAAAAAGTGCCATTGCTTTTGCATGTGGTGCTAAATTCTGCTGCCGGGAAAAAAAGAATCCAGCCCAGGGCCCTGCCCGCAACAGAACAGCTCCTCACCTCTTAGGTTTCTGGCAATAACACATAATACAATGTCCTAGGGCATTCATCTTCTAAAATATCAACAACTTAAATTTTCAGACAAATTTGCAAATATCCACCCGTAGCATGCAGACTGGAAATCACATCACTTAAGTGCAGGGAATTAGTGTCCGCTGCACATTCTTCATGTCTCTTGGGCATTGTTCACATCCAAACGTGTTCCTGTCATTTATGCATTTTCCTTGTTTATGTCTTTAACTAAGTTAATAGTTTTGGTTTGATTTTCCTAATGTTTCACCTTGTCATTCGTGCCGTGATTTCTGCAAATGGAATTTTAGGGTAAAACCAGCTGTATGCAGAAGCCAATTAAAAGGAATGTCCATTTTCCTGATACTGTCACTCTGAACTGAGGCAATACATAAAAACAGGTTCCTGTTACAAAGCCATGTGAATACAATTGAACAATCCTTTGCCTGAATCCCAGATTTTGTCTAGACAGTGAAATGGCAGGATTTCTGGACACAATTAGTATAGTTTAGCAGCAAAGAGTGGTTTAAAGTAAGATGTTATGAATTGCCTGCAGTGCTGATGGTCCTCTCCACCTCAGCCCCAAGCAGCACAGAGCTGCAGTTTTCCAGCCAAGAGTATGGCATCTCTACCAGCATCCAAACAGATCATGTATTACATGATCCCAAGACCATCCAACGGCTCAGATTCCATGGCTTGGAGTTCCATTTCTTGGTTGTTGCAAGTGTGTACAAGGCTTGGTAGATCCCATGAACAAAAGCAGAGTCTGCAGAGCACTTGGCCCAGGTCTTTAGGAGATCTGCAGAAAAGAAAAGTGAACCTGCAGCTAGCCCTGCACCAAAGAGCATCAGGATGACCCTATGCATTTTAGAGCAGCCAGCAGCATTTTTGCTGCTTTCTTCCATCCCAAGCCTGGCCGATCAAACTGCAGTCTGGCTGCACATTGCCTCACCCAAGGTGAATGCTGATGGTCCTCACATCCCTTTCTCAGATCTGTTCCCTAGACAAAGATCCTTCTTCCCAAAGCAGAGCCCAGCATGCAATACTGTTAAAGCCTCTACTGCCTGAGTTACCTTGTATTGTTTTTCCAAAACACAAAATGCACCTTATTCACCCTCCTGACCTTCCAGACCTGCATCTTCTGTTTGCATCTCTCACCCTGTGCCCGGTACTGGGATCAGTGACTCAGCATGGCCTCAAACAATCCTGCCGGTAATAAAAACTGTGAAACCAGCCAAACCCAACCACTGCTCTCAGATAGTCCCTTTCCCTGGTAGAACTCCAAAATCATTGGAGAGGCAGGTTTTGCCCTAGTCCCAGGCAAGTGTGGCTTTTCTGAGGTATGTGTAGCCTGCTTTTGTGAAAAATCACTGCACTTTGCAAGTGAAAAGACCAACAGCACACACTAAATTGCTGGCCTGGCTCCAGGATGATAACCTTGCTAATGCACAACCAGCAAATGAATAAAAGATGTCGGTGTGTATAAACAAAAGCAAGTCTCTGCTGACTTATATGAGGAAATGTTGACCAAAGGGTGCCTGCTCTCCGACTACCACCCAAGTAACAGATCATTGACCAGGGCAGAGAGTTGCGTTGAAGGTTCCTAGGAAACAGGGGCACCCTGATCATCTTCAGAGTCAGCTGAGAGAGGTTATGCATCAAAAAGTACAGCTCTTTTTCTAAGCACTTGCTAATGTCCCACTTTCTATAACGAAGACTGATAAAGCACTTCAGCTGCATTCTCAGGTAAACAGCTGGATGGTTTTGCTCATATGCTCTTTGGAATTTGAAGAGATTTGAGAGAGATTAAAAAAAAATAATCTGAAGAGCACTATTAGATGTTGAATTTGTATTGCAAATCATGAACAGCTCTCCCGGACTGTATACAGAAAATGGAAGGTTCTTAAGCTGTTTAATGAGGTGTCAGTGGAAGACTTTCAAAAAGAGCCTGAAACTGCTTTGCAGTGCATATGAGAAGACACGTAGAAGAGTATTTTTGCAGTTTCTGGGTAGGAAAGTGGGTTGGGATTACCTGGAAGGAAGTCCATCATGGTGAGAAGGAGATACTGTATGTAGTACTACAGGTATTAATGTCTAAAAACCAAAGGTGGGATAACACCGCATCAGAGAAGACCTGCTTTAAAGAGCTGCGGAGTTAGGTGGTGGGTTAACTGAAGACTGCCTCCAGAAATTAATGAAGCAAGGAAAGAGTCCAGGCTGAGCTGGTGGAAAAGATCCTGAACGGATAAATACTGCCCTGCTGCAGGGGAGCCTGGCACAGGTGCAGCGCCAGCAGCTACCAGAGCTGGAAAACTACTGCCGTCCAAGGGCCATGCACACAGGGGGAGTTTGTCATTTATGTTACTTTCTGAACCCTGAAAACAGGTTTTAATACCTGAAACATTTTCAGTTTCCAGCAGAGCAGGCACAAGCGGTGCCAAGGACTCTTTGAAATCTCAGCCTTGACGTGTTGCTTACATTTATGTTCTTTACTGCAAAGCTGACAGCAAGCAAGAGCACTGTGCTCTGAGCAGAGAAGGGAGGCAGGGGCTCCACTTTCCCGTGAGGATCAGATACTCCTTCTTGCATGCATGAGGTCAGTAAGTTTCTACAGCACAGTCCTGGAAAGGGGATGGAGTGGTCTGAAGGGGCAATGCCCCTTATTAAGCATCTCAGTAACACAGGGCATGGAGGCTGGGAGCTGAGGCTTCTCTGTATGTTTCTATGCTGGACAGCAGCTGGAGAAGAATTTCTGGAGCTTTCAGTGCAATCCTGGATGCCAAATTCCCACTGAAGCCTTACTAGAAGTCCCAGCTCACAAATGCCTCTATCTTGGCATTATTCACCAGTGACCCTTCAAGCACTAACAGGACATGTTGCTGTAATTTAAATAAATTAAATCATACCAAATCTACTAAATATGGCTGGTCGAGTCCTATTATATAGGGCATTCACCATTAAGCAAAATCTATTAAAAATGTGAATAAGCCTCCAACTCATTGCAGACAGCAAGACCATCTTGCTAAAGTTGTGCTGAATATATTTTCATTTTTAGGTGTGCAGAGAGCTTGCAGGAAGCCAGGGTCCTGGAAATATAAGGATTGCAGGACTGATAAACCTGGCAGAGTAACTACCCTTGCATTTAAGTCTGTAAAATCCTGGCAGAGCAGCACGTCCATTTCAGAGGTTACTTCAAAACAAGCAGAGGGGGAGGAGAAGGAAGCTTTAAGTACCATTTTGCCATGTTTCATTTGATGTCAAATTGATTGTTTAGTTTTTGCCTGCAAGAGACTCCACCTCCTTTGAAAAGTCCCTTTAAGCCCTGCAGAGAATTTATCCCAGCACAGCTCCTGCCTCACCCTTAACAGTTACACCGGCAAAGAAAACCAAATGTCCTCAGTCCCGCTGAAGAGGATCAAATACATGGTGCCTTGGAAAACCACTGCCCTCAAAAAGAAGGATTTCCACTTGGATTGAAGTTTTTTTCTGGCTTGATATTTCCTTTTACGTTTTCTTGGCCCTACAGATAATCTAAAGGAAGCGAGTTGTTCTCTAGTTTTTGCTCCTCAAGCATAGGTTAAAATGCCAGGCAAGGAAGAGTCCCTCGGTACCACTCATCTCCTGAAACTACATTGCATCATTTGGAAAACAGGACGAGAGGACATGAGACATCTCATCCCAATGTCTTTTTAACGGCACTTAGGTCATATGCATGGGGGTTCATAACTGCAAGAAAATGAGCAGATGCCAGAAGATTTCATTATATGCTTAGCTGAAGAAAAAAAAACATGAGCACATTTTCCATTTTAAACGCTAGCAACATGTCACAAGCTGAGTCCCTTGAGGACAGCAGCAATTGGACAGCAGTAACCCAGTTTACCCAGCCGGGCTGGCGAATTGCTCTGTGGGCTATCACCTATTCCTTCATTGTTATCACATCCATCGTTGGCAACATCACCATCATCTGGATTATTCTTGCACACAGGAGAATGAGGACCGCTACCAATTACTTTATCGTTAATTTGGCTCTTTCGGATTTGCTGATGTCCACTTTCAATACCATCTTCAACTTTATTTACGCCAGTCACAACGTCTGGTATTTTGGTGAGGAATTCTGCAGGTTTCAGAACTGGTTTCCCATCACCGCAATGTTTGTGAGCATTTATTCCATGACAGCCGTGGCTGCAGAGAGGTAAGAGGCTAATGGAGAAGATAAGGTCCAAAAAATCCACTGTAAGATATAAAAAACTCTTGCAATACTTTGTGCAATTGTCCTACTCTATCAGGTGCCTTCTCAGCAAAGTGGGAGGAGGGCCAAGCAAACAGACTGTGGGGTTAGATCCTAGTTATGGTGTGAAAGGAAGGCTCTTCTTGTTTGTCCCTGGTCTGAAGCACACCCAAACGCGTAACAAGTGGAAATGGGTGGTATTTTGTTGTTCCCACATTACTGATCACAGACTGTTTCCCAGTCATCCTGCAAACCATTTTATTTATTTGTTCTAAACCATGAGAGGGACCCATCATTTGGACAGAGCTGGAGTGATAGGAATATGTTAGAGTGCTGAATGTATCAGCATCCAAGATTCTGCTTGTGAGTCCAGCAAACCACCAGAAATAATGGGAATTGGATCTGAAATGCCAGTCTGCTCCAAGAGTTCACAAGAATGACTTATTCCAAGAGGGAGGAAAGTAATTACAATGATTTTGTTTGACTTCTGAAATAATTTGGCATTTTCATCATGCTCTTTTACATCTGCCAAGTCTGTTTTACTCAAGCTTGAATTTGTGGAGCCTGAATGTGTTTACAACTCATTGTTAAGTAGCCTGCTGCTGTTTTTCTTTTTTACTAGAAAGAGGCCAAAAGTCCATGGGAATTTCCTCTTTTAAAGGCAATGGCATGTGAAAGAAGTTGAGGAGGTTAAGCTCCCTTCTAGGCTCTCTGTCCTTCTCCCCCTTATCCTTCCTGTCATCCATCCATTACTTCCACTCTCTGCCCGGTGCTGGAAACATCTGTATATTTTCCATCCTGTGTCCCTGCTTAACCTCACAGCAAAGGTCTTCCCCGGGCAGCCCAATACTGAATCCAGAAAACTCGTCAGTCCTTCGTCAAGCCCTCCTGTTGACTTTGCAGTTTTCTTCAGGTTTCCCCCATTCCTGATCAAGGACGTGAATCCACAAAAGGCCCTTCGGGCTCCCTCAGGAGCAGAGCCAGCATCCCTCTGGAGCTGTGTGAAAAGCATTGCTCCGTGAGTCATTGGGGTCACACTCGTAACTTCTGTCCTGCTCACAGCCTGGCTCACCCCGGCACGCCCAGCTGCAGGAAGCAATCGATAGACAAATCAAACCAGATAAACAAACTAGCAGGAGAAAGGTGGCTTTGCCCTGTGTGCCTGTGATGCCTGCTCGGCCCACACTGGAGCTGGGGATATGGCACAGCACAGAGTAGTGGCTTCTGTGGTTACTGGAAGGATTGCTAGTAAGAGCAGGGATGAGTGATATGTTTATCAGCCTGCAGTTGTCCAGATGAAAGCAAATCCCTATTTAGAAGTAATGACAGCTCTGTTTCAGACTCAAGTACTCTTTTGCTGTTCCTTTTAATAATGAATTGTTGGTAACTGCTATTTTATACATGTGGTCTGCCAAAAAATATTATTCAAAAAACGAAACAAAATCTATTCCAGCCTGTCCTCATGTCTCCCTGCTCTCATTCCTTGTGGACTTTTGGTGAAAGTACCTTTACAGTCACATGGCACGGATCAGAACGAAAACTTGGCATCTCGCTGCAAACCATATTTAGCTATTCTTTGCTTAGCCTTAAAATAGATCCTGACACTGTCTCCTGGAAACTCACGGCTTCCATTAATTGTTATGAGAACTTGCTTCCACTTGGGCTCCGTTGTTTAACTTTGCTAAAACAATGTCTTATGAAGCAATTTCTTGTAGGGAAGAAGGCTAAAAAGTGACAGCTCTGTAAGTCATCCTTGTCTGCTGTGGGAAAGGCCCTAGCTATATTGCTCACTGTTGGGTTTATAGAAGACAGAATGGCTGGGGTCAGAAAGGACTTCTGGAGACAATCCAAGCCTCCTGCTAAAGCAGGCTCACCTAGAGAAGGTTGCACAGGATTGCAACCAGATGGGTTTTGAATCTCTCCAGAGGAGACTCCACAACCTCTCTGTGCAGCCTGTTCCACTGCTCTGCTACCCTCAGTGTAAACAAGTTTTCCCTCGTATTCAGATGGAGCTTCCTGTGTCTCAGTTTGTGCCCATTGCCCCTTACCCTGTCACTGGACACCACTGAAAAGAGTCTGGTCCCATCCCGACCAGGATCTGACACCCGCCACTGAGCATATTTGTATGCATTGATATGATCCCTTCTCAGTCATTTCTTCTCCGGGCTAAACAGACTCCCCCAGTTCTCTCAGCCTTTCCTTGTAAGAGGGATGCTCCAGACCCCTGTTCATCTCTGTAGCCCTCTGCTGTACCCTCTCCAGTAGTTCCTTATCTTTCTTATACTGAGGAGCCCAGCCCTGGACACAGTACTCCAGGTGTGGCCGCACCAGGGCAGAGCAGAGCGAGACGATCACCTGCCTCAATCTGCTAGCCACATTCTTCCTAATGCATCCCAGGATACTATTGGCCTTCCTGGAAGCAGGGCTCTGAGAGAAGGCAGAGGGAGCATGAGCAGTAGGGGGCAAAGGCAGCCCTGCCACACCACAAGAGTGGCCAGAAGACCTCAGCAGATTCAGTAAATCCAACTCCAGCGGGCAGGAGCTTGCCTAAAAGCACCACTCGCCTTGGGATGCACCCCTGGCTGAGTAGGAAAGCCTCCACCCAGCAGCCCAGGTAACACCTTCGATACCTGCAACTCAGGCTGCTTCAGCAGCCCAGTGGGTGGCATCATTTGTACCCAGGATTTGTGTTTCACTGAGAGCCACAAATCAATTCTGGAGAATATTCACCACTTGATTCCTCCCTGACCAGATTTGAGCACTGTATAATACTGCCTACGATGAGCTGAAGAAAAGCAAGGCAACGTGAAAATTTTATAGCTAAAAAAGGCTCTGCTGCCAGGCAGCTCTGGCTTACTTACTGTGCCGCCTGTCCATGCAGCCGCCCTCTATCCTGCACCAGCAGCCAGGCAGAGCTCCCTCCCAATGACCTGGCCAAGAGACAGCACAGAGTTTGTCGGATTTTTGCTATGAAAACAAGGAGGCGATTGGCATTTTCCACTTTGCCTTTGTAACAGCCATGTCAAAGAGTACAGAAAGCATGACAAGAAATGCGTAATCGATTATGTAGTCGTTACGATACCATGCATTTCTACACAGGGAACTTAAAACCAGAGAGCGCCCCAGGCTTGCATGTAATCCAATAGTCAGATGTGCCATGAGGGCTCTGAGCAGGTGTGGGATAAAAGGCTCAGCTTTCTTTTCCACTGCAAGCACAAGCACTTGAGCATTTACAGGCAGAGGTGGGTGGCACAAGAGTTTTGCAGGGCTAAGAATCAGTGGGGAATAATTCAGGCTAAAGGATACTCAAGACCCCAGTCTGCTGTTGTGATAATATGAGGTTGACGTAATTTGGGAGAAAAAGAGCGTTTGGGGTGCTTTTTTTTTGGTAGAGGAGGGAGGCAGGTCAGAGTTTTAAACACCATGTATCTCTAAACTAACATTAACAGTTCACAGCACAAAATTCCAGACCAAGCACATAAAATATTTGAAAAATTAATTAAAAAAAATTAAAACCCCAAGAAAGGGGAATACTTATGAAGACCATATCCCGAAGGCATAGACGGCTGCTTCCTCCTCATACCTTAAACCATTCCCCAAGACTTGCAGTTGTTCTCTTCAGAAGATATTTAGGTCCTTCAAATTGTTTATAGCATGGAAACTATCAAAATCTCTCTATAAATAAAGCTCACTATACCGTTCTGGTGAGTTTTTACACTTGTTTGTATTTGTTATATAGATCACCAATGCAACTGTAAAAGCATTACCTATTTTTCTTGCAGGTACATGGCGATAATTCATCCCTTCAAGCCCAGGCTCTCTGCGGGAAGCACCAGAGTCATCATAGGGATAATCTGGCTGGTGGCATTTGGGCTTGCCTTCCCACAGTGCTTCTATGCTGAAATCATGATGGACAACGGAACGACAAAATGCATTGTTGTCTGGCCTGATGATGTCGGCTCAAAGCACCAGCTCACGTAAGAAAAACGGGAAAACTCCTAATTCATGCCAACATTAAGTAGGAAATCCATTTCATCTCCAAACTGTTGGCTACAGAGAGAGCGGGCAGGGGGGAAGCACACAGCAGGGGGATATGGGTGTGAGGCAGGCAATCTAAGCTCAGTTTAAGCCAGCTGTGGGAAAACCTGCCAAGTGATCACAGCTCATGGTAGGGAAGGGTGATCTATCCTCCCCTGCTCTGAAAACTGGTTATAAGAGCTAGAAACCCCAGATACAGGGCTCAGTGGGTTTAAGAGAAACCAGCACAGCCTGGTTCCAAAGATTTTGGATTTTCTCCCTCCATCAGGCAGGAAGAAACTGGGTATCTTTAATGCTGAAAAGCTAGGCCTTTAGCTTAAAAATCAGGCCGCTCTTTGGGTTAGGGGAGGGGTGGGAAAGAGGAGCACATTTCAAACATCCTAAGGTTTTACAAATCGACTTATCTGGGCACACATCTGTGCTCCCAAAAGCTCCTGACCCTCACAGCAATTTCCTCCTGCTTTAAAACACGATTGTTCAGACATATGAAACAAGCCATACCTTGCATTTAGGGGATGTGCTGTGGTTAATCATTATTCAAAGCACATGATACACAGAGTAGTTTGAGAAATTTATCAAGCAAAACATATTTATACTAAGAAGTAATGGAAGAACTGCAGAAAAGGAACAAATCCATTAACAAAATGGAAACAATTTTTCAAACCAAAACAAAGTGCTAACCTCCCCCCGTATCTGTTCTTCACTGTGAACTGCTTTTGCCCAGCTGCATGTACCAGGGACATTTTTCCCTTCTCAGTCTTCATTTCTGGCAGATAGCTGGATGCCTCCTATGGTTAGTTATTACTGAATCAACTGTTTTTCACACTAATATGTGCCAAGTTTCAGGAGCTCTATGTAAGTTTGGGTAACTTGCAGCAAATTCAGCCACTGGTGCCCAGTTGTCCCCAGTCGCCAGAGTCACAGAAGAATAGACTAAAATCAGGCTCACGTCATGTTGGGTTGATGCTCCTCTCAGGGGTCCTTGGCTGGTAGCCTGTGGCACACGCTGGGGAACACAGTGTGCAAGCTCCTGTCGATTAAGAAGGAGGGGTAATAGCTGATTGCTTTTATGTAAGTCACTGATGACTATTTCACTTAGATGAAATTTAGTGTGGGGTTTATTTCTCCCACATCCATGGTTTGAAACAAGAATTTCCCACTATAGTGACAAAACCTCTGCAAGTTGGAAAGGCTGGTCCTGAATGCAAATAATTGGGCAGGTTCTTTCTGGGATCCCCAGCTTAGGAGCAGCAGTTCCTGAACGCAGAACATGACTTCATTCACCAGCTTACTCTCCCTGAACAGCCTCAGATTTGCAGGTTGCAGTAGTTCTCCCAAAGAGGAAGTTGGAAGCAGTGCTCCCCAGGTGTCATCTTGAGTGATGGAGCTGTTGGGACAGATGCCTGCAATACAGACCACGGAGAAAAAAAGCCATATGCCATGCATGTGCTAGTCCAAATACAGAGGGAAAGAAATACTAAGAAACCCAAAGAAAAAAATGGAAGTGGAGAACTGGGTTCCTCTGTTGACTGTGGGTTCTCAAAATCCTTCATAGTTGAGTAAAAGCAGCCTTCAAGATTTCTAGACTTCAGAACACAGGAAAATCCTTTTCTGCAGGAAAAATGTATATAAGTATGATAGAAACAGGTAAAAAAAGACCCAAACAACGTACTGCTGTGACTGCCAGTGCCTGAGAAATACTGGATATAAAGGACTTTAACCAAAATAAAGAACCTCAACCACAAGAGGATTATTTTATTTTTAACTCGTGACAGGTTAACTTTGCAGCAAAGCAGCACAATTATAACACTAAAAGTTCTTTTTGTCGTGTGCCACTTAGGCTCCCATCCTCTCCTGCTCCTCACAGGATGGGAACTCTTAACAGGGCTTTGCTGATTAGACCCTCAAAAGCGGTACTGCTCTGAGGACAGTTGGGAAAGGTGGAAAACAGGCAGGGACTTGCCATGTTTCACAGATACAGTATTTTTCTATATGCAGCCATCACTTTGATATCTGCAAACATTCCAAGCAGCAAACACCACCGTGCACCCCAACACCCATTTCGACAGCCCTCTCCAAAGCAGTGGACCCCACTCACTAAGGCAGCAAGTAACTCCAGGGTGTTGTCATGCTGAGAAAGACCATTTGCACCCAGCCTTTTGTGGCCGTTGCCAGCAGTGTGTGCCAGCTCCTGCCTAATCCTAGTTTTTACACTGTTTATGTTAATTTGACAGCTGCTGTAACCGAGTGAGCAGGTTGTTCCCTCCCTATAAATGGTGGTTGCTTAAAATAATTGACCCCCAGCATGAAGGAACCAGCAGAAGCTTGCAGGGTAACATGGAAGGCTAAGAAGGGCTGAGCTAAAACACAGCCAAAGGAGGTGCCAGCACTTTGGGCTGGAGCAGTAACCAAGTAAGTAGCCTGTTGATGATATGTAACTGTGTGCACACACACAAACAAAACCAGCCAGGAACACAAACACAGCAATAACTGCCATTCACTTTCTGTATGCTGTAAGCAGGCAATATTCCTTCCTTGCTATCTGCAGGGTCTCACCTGATGGCTTTGTGCACACTGTTAGCAGCCAGCTACGTCTTGCAGTCCCCGATACAGGTATTTTCACTGTTGCCAAATTGAGCTGTTGACACCATTGCATTTGTCAAGTTACTCTGTGGTTTTCAGAATAACCCTTTTCAGTATCTGTCATTTAAAGGTTCATATCTTTACAGCACAAGTCTCAGATGTGTCTCTTTCTCAACTGCAGAAGGATAGCAAAGTTCAGTGCTCCCTGGTAAAAAATAAATCATAGTACTTCATCTTGAAAGAACAGTGAATCCAGTCCAAGGACTAATCATTACAACACAAGAGAGATGAGCTTCTGCTCTTTACAGAAGTCCTTGTAACGATGTTTGTAGGCAAAATTTCTGCTTCTTTATGCTTTGAAGTTGAAGTTAATGGGAGCCAGGCATACATGTCCAAATGGCAATTTCTGAAAGAGCCCTTCAAGAGACGTACTGACTATGAAAATGTGCTTGTTCTTCTTTTTCAGGTATCACATTGCAGTGATCGTGCTGATTTATTTACTGCCTTTACTGGTGATGTTTGTTGCATACAGCATTATAGGAATTACTCTGTGGAGCAGTGCTGTTCCAGGCAACCACCTTAACAGAGCCCGCTACGAACACCAAGTTAATGCCAAAAAAAAGGTCAGAAGTGAAACTTAAAAATGATTACCCTCAACACACCAGTGCTGCTGCCTCCAACTCCAAAATGGAGCTTGCATTTGATGCAAACTCTTGTGGGACTGGGCATGAAAGGTGGACAAAATATTTTGGGCTGGGGGTAAAGGGCATCACCCAGTAAGTATGAAAAGAAATTGCGATCTACATGTGCCAGCATCATCCAAGGAGGAGAGGCTCACATCAGTAGGCAGCAGGCCAGTTCCCAGCATTCCTTAGAGAGTGAAGCTCAGCGTTCAGTGAAGCCACACAGTGCAGGATAAACCAGGGCAAAACTCTGGACAGGGTGGGAGAGGTTTCAATGCAACAGCAGTTATCTCGTTTCCCTACTACAGCTCTCTGATGTAGCTGCAAGCAGTTCCTCTGCAGAAAGTCCACTCGGTGCACCAGAAATCATTTGCTCTAACTCTCAGGCTGTTCCCATCAGTGCTGGGGTTTTTTGCCCTAACAGCTCAGGTCTACATACCATATGCAGCACTTCAGTAGTAGAAAACAGACCCAAGCCAAATGCAGCATTTCCCATTTCCCCAGAAGGCTCATATGACCACCCAGAGGCCCAGGAATAACACAGTGGTTTTGTTTTTCTAGTTTGTGAAGACCATGGTGGTAGTTGTGATCATCTTTGCTGTCTGCTGGCTGCCCTATCACATATACTTCATCCTGGGAAGCTTCAAGGAAGACATCTACCAGCAAAAATACATTCAACAGGTTTATCTTGCAGTCTTTCTCCTTGCCATGAGTTCAACAATGTACAACCCCATCATATACTGCTGTCTTAACCAAAGGTGAGTAGTGTGCATGTGAGTGAGCAGAGAAAACAAAAATCTCAATCTGAAAAAGCAAAAATCTCTGGAGATGAGAACAACTGTGATTTTCAATTGCAGTACATAGGCTTAACAGACCATTTATACTCTGCTAATAATGTGCGATGAGCCACACTGTGAGATTTTAACACAACCCTTAAGATTTTCAGCCTCAGAACAACGCACAGGCAGCAGGTATATGATCAGCACAGCCACTCTTGTACACATTTCCACACACAGACTCCCTTATTTTCAAGGAAGGAGAGAGGAATCTGTAACCCCTGCAACACATCTGCTGACCTAACGCCGGGCTGGGCTGGGCTGGCCAGCCGTTCCTCCCAAGCCTCCGCCCTCCCAGCACAGCCCTGTGCCCCTCACACAGGGCCTGAGCTCACCCCTGTGGGCAATAGGAGCACTCCTGCCAGGAGTCCCATCCTGGCCATGCTGCCGCGAGCGAGGAGCTGGGAGAGCACAACCGCGTTGTGCCAAGAGATGTCCCTCTTGCTCCGTGCTGAGGACGGGCTGCTCCCGGGGCGCTGGCGCGGCAGGGCGCCGGGTGTGGGAAGCTGCTCTGGCTGCCCTGCGGATCTCTCCATGACGGACCATGCCTGCGCATCCTACTGACAGACGTCTCCCTAATCTGCATCTCTTTGCAGCCTAGCTGCATGCGCAGTGAGCGGTGAGCTTGAAGGGTATTTATTATACGCCTTATCCAGCACCTCCAGGGCAGTTTCACTGCGTTTTCATCGGCAAAACGCCTGACTCCAGGGTGATGCAAGGAAGCTCAGTCCTTAGGAGCATTTAGAACAACATCCTGCCCATAAACTCACAAAAGACGGAAGCTTTGCAGCCCATTCAGCCAATCTGCACTTAAGGCCAAACATCCAAACACATCCTTCTCCTCTCAGAAAGCTTCCTCATTTAATTATTCATAATTTTTAAAAAAGCTTCCAGTGGGAAAGCACACATATTTCCCTCAGATTCTACACTTCTCACAAATGCTGCTATCAGCATGGGCATCACCGTCTACTGAGCACATCAGACATCCTGCCATTTCACTGATCATATATATTTACTTAAAATATAAGGAAATCTGATCATGAATTACTGCACTTCTCCTCCATGGTTTTATACATTTAGCTCTTCATCTCACTCTGATTTCAACAGAAACGTTTTATTTGCATGGACATTCAGAGGTAAAACCAAGTCATGCATTTGCTCTTTCTCTGTGCAATTAAAAAGATCAATTCACCATTTCATTTCTTTTCTTGCATGTACAGGTTTCGTTCTGGCTTCAAATTAGCCTTCCGGTGGTGTCCATGCATAAAAGCAACTGAGAAAGACAAACTCAAACTCACATCCCCATCTCTTTACCAGACAACCCACAGGAAGTCAAGAACAACAAGTTTTGATACAGAAACTCAACTGAATGAGAAGACATCATTTACCCCCACCCAGCTATCACTCTGATTTTCTCCTCCTGTTTCTAGCTCTATCCTAATTCAGAATTCCAAGGCAGCAGATTTGTAGAAGCCTGAGACTGGTCTTTTTTTCTGGAGCAAGTGTTTCTGTCAGGATGTTTGTATATGCCGTCAGCATTGAAAGCAGCCTACTGATAATACTTACATCCACGTGGGCCCAAATATCACCCAGCTATGCATACAGGTTCAGCTCTCTCCTACACCAACAACTGTGATACAGAACACAGAGAGCTTGCCCATGAGGTCAAAAGAAGCAGCAAAGCAGACCTGAGGCACTGCCAATCACTAGAATTATCAATTGTTCTCTTCCAGATAGCAACCTTCTTTCTGTTCCACCAAGACACTTAAATCTGGAAAAAGGGTGATGAAGCAGAAAGGCTGGGGCACATTTAGCCCAGTTTGGATGAACTCTTGGGGCTACGTGTGCAGCTAAGTCCCATGGCCCAGCAGCCCCATGGTGGACATGACGGTAGAGCAAAGAACAAAGGCAAACACTAACACATCCGGACTGAAAAGCCTGCCCTGAACATTTTCTGAATTCTGAGCCTCATGCCTGCAATTTCATCAGCACTGTCCCACATCAGTTACAAGTGACAGTTACTGAAGATGTCTTCGTTGGATGCATTTCTATTACCTCGTACCAAAATGTCATTTTCCTATTAAACTGTGCCCAAGTGATTTCTCCAACTTCACATTGTTAATTGTTGTGCCTAATTTGGAAAGTGAGAGTCTCTGAAGGGTCAAGTAGCCTGGTGTGTGATGCTAACTGGCTTGGTCAGGGCTCGTGGGTTACAATCTGGATCCGCCTCCTTTATCTCCTCTTAGTCCTAACAGCAGTCTCCCCATTTCTGTCCCTTCCCAGATAGTCCCCTTCCTCTTCACTTTCCAGACTTACCCCATATTTATCATCACTGTTCTTCTCTTTTCAGATATGGAAATAAAGGCTGAAATACCATCTTCAAAGCCTGAGGTATTATGTGCAGGCATGCAAATCAAGAGAAGCTGCAATATAAACATTTATATAGAAGTAATACAGCATTTAATACTGGTGCGATAATTAGCACTTCAGAATAACCTTCACCTTTCATGACAAGTTTTTATATACTATCACAGAGACATACATTAGCATACAGAAAGCTCCTACAATGTCAGTAAGATACAGTTATTTAAAGTATTTCACCTTGCTCTGTGAAAGCAAAACTACAAAGGATTAAATTCTGCAGTAAATTCAGAAAAAGGATTGTGGCCTGAACTGCAAGAGTACTCAGGGACATGACTTTACTTCTCCACTTAACCTGCCTCACATCCCTGGCTGCTGTGGAGAACAAGTATATCACAAACTTGCCTCGCTAATGGGAGAACAGAGCACAGGGCTGTATGCCCTTCTTAGAGAGTTCATTATTTTAAATCATTCCAGCAGGTAGCGTCTAATCTAGATGTTATCTGCCCAGCCCGCTCTTCCGAGGACTGTACCACTGGTGCACACAAGGGAGAGGAAGAGCAGAAAGAGGCATTTACAGCCAGCCATCACGGAGTCTTTTTTGAAGGGATTCAAAACAATTAGGGAGGGATGCTCTGCAAGGCACAGATCTCTGGGATCAAACTAGAGGTTGCAAAGACTCTTGCTCCAAGGAACTGAATAGCACATATATGCAGAGTTCACTATTTCATACACATAAGCTGTACTTTGCCCATGCTCAGCCAATGTAATTGTAAGGCCTTTAAATTCTGCAGCTTTCTAATGCAAATCTTCTTAGACCAAACAGGCCTATCTTCAGCATCACAGCTTCCATCACACCTTAACAGCCAGCAAGAACCTATTTCAGATGCCCAAATGTCACAGGTGTGCTGGCAGTCCCTCCCCTGTACCGTCCCTGATAGGCACCAATGTTTTCTGACAGCCCAAGGCATCTTTCTCTCTTGTTGAGGTGCAGGAAGCAGAGGATGGATAATTTCTTCAGGTCACAAGTGAAAGTCCCTGTGCCCTGAAGGACTCACACTGCAAATCCTGAAAAGTTAACTCTGGTAAAACCAGCAAGAGTTAAGAAAGCAGAGATGCTCTGAGCCCTTGTTAGATACCGCAAGGCATGCCAAGGCAGACTACAGTACTTCTGTGATACATGGGGTAACGGGAACACCATGCTGCATAGTAAATACATGCAATTCTTCCTATAAATATAGACATGATTAAATACTGTGCAGCAGTAAAACACCTCCGGGTCAGCAATAAATCCCTCCTCTGCACAGTCACTTGTACTCTAAGCAACAATGGGGTCCCCGCAGCCAGCAAAGAAAAATATTTGGAAAAACTGATTTCTATAGCAAAGGAATGAACAAAAAGCACAAAACGGGGTTCAGAAGTTCAGAAACACTTTATTTTGCCTTCTGCTATTTTCTTAAGAAAACAAAACTAAACAAAGTCTGCTTGTTTTAAAACCCATTCAAAAGGCTTCTGAGAGAATCCCCAGAGGAGTAAGGAGCAGATAACATTACAACAGTGGTATGCAAATGGTCTTTTCCCCAGGAAATATAAGATTCTGTGTTCATATTGCAGTAATTACATGTTAACAATTAAGAGGACTAGGATTTTATTCACCAAGCCTAAAAGCTTTAAGTAAGACATCTCAGTCATTGCTTGGATAACATTGGAGACATTTCTTCAGACAATTATAGCTTGTGATTCACTTGGAACAGCTTCCTAGAGGTAAGAAGTAGTCTGGAAATGGAAAGCTCAACAGATCTCCCTTTGAAAAAGAACTGCCGTGTCTTATCAACTACACCATCTACGGTCCACAGTAGGAAGAATTGTGCTGTTAGAAACACAAACTCACACCCTATTTGTTATGGGCTGGAGCCAATAAACAAAACAACCTATGCCAGCATCTTCAAAATTCACAGTCATCCCAAGACCAAGCTTAACTTTCACTTCTCATTCATCCTCTATCCTGCACTGACCCAAGCCCTCAGATGCTGAAGAGCTCCAAACCCAGGTCCTTTGGGACAGCTCACACTACCCTTGTAGCACTGCTGATGGCAGGCATGAGATTTGCAAATATTCAAGCAGTTAAAAGGCAACATGTCTCCTGCACCCAAAAAGTTTCTCACCTTCTTCTGTCTCCTATTTGGGGTCATAGCTGCACATGAAGGGTGTCAGTGACTATTCAAGCTGTAACATAAAATGGGTTATTGAAGAAGCACAGCTTTAGTGTGTGTGCAAAAGGGTCTTTCAAAAGCAACTCCATCACAGGATGCGCAAAACAGCAGTGTATGAGAACCTAACACTGTGATTCTGCAAACATTAAGCCTATGCACACAGGGAGTGTAACAGACTCTGATATGCATCAGACTTCTTTGGGGACACAGCGACTATAACATATCCATCACTGTGCATCTACCTGATATAATCACATTGGTTTTGGTGCAGTGCACTGAAGTTTTCCTGCACTGCAGATCCTCCTGCATGAGATGCACCCAGACAAATTACATGTCCCTAAGACTTGGGCACTGTCAGCTCTGTGCCTATGCTGAACTACGTTAGGAAACACGAGGCATAGGGACCTGGGTAAAATCCACCCTATTTGAACCTTACCCTGAATACCCGGGAATAAAAACACACACACAAAACACAGGCACCACTGGGATTAGTTTGCAGCTCTCCCTACACAATAGCTCTTCCCAAAGCACTAAGCCACCAGCCAACAGCACCTCTTCCAGAAAGAACCACTAAACACCAGTTAACGCACATCAAAAAAAGTTTAATATTTTCACAAATATCACGTAACACTAGTACCAGAGCTACTAGTGTGCAAAGTAAAAAGACGCTCTACCTTTGCAAAACCACTTAGGCATGCGATTTTTCAGGTAGACACACACTTAAAGCTGCAATGACTGTTTGTGACTTACTTGTTACTTTACAACATTCACTCACAGTGCACCATAATGCGTACTGAAACGATACTGATGGGTAGGGCAATCCAAATCTTAAGGGAGTGGAACAAGGACAAAGAGGAATAGCCTGCACATTTCCATCTACTTTCTGCAGGAAAAGGCAGCAGGGAAAACCATGCAGACATCTCAAATTCATTTTTGGTAGAAGAGCAGGAATTAAGGACTACTGTGTGGTCTCCCTCGTTGCAGAAAGTGGTGTGACTTGCAAATGTTTTCAGCTGCAATGTTTTTTAACTGTGTCTCAATTTAAGTAATGTGACTGGTATGTAAATATAATAATGGCATTGACTAGACAGAGGACAGTATACACCAAGTGTATATGATCTTTGTTGTTGCTTTAATCCTTGGAATAAGCTGGGTCTGATTTTGGCTTTCTGGTTTGTTTAGTTTACTCAGCCAGGTCATCAAAGGCAAGATCAAAATCAAACCCTCATATTCCTTTCTGATCACTAACTCTAGCTGCATGTTTGTGTTTTGAGTGGCAGCTTAATTAACGCTATTAAAGATTACAGCTTTGTGTGGAAGCTAATACCCATTTAAGGCGAGACGGAAGTATACACATCCGAGTGACAGTGACTAGCTGCAGATTCAGAAGAAGGGCAGCTGTGGTGCCCTGATCTAGACTGACAAGAAGAGATAGAAAATAGTTTTTATAAGAACTCTTAAACAGAAAAATACAGCACAACCCTCATAGGGACCATAAACCTACCAGTTTCCCAGCTCTGGAGATTTGGATTACCCCAGTCACCAACCACTTTGTTTTTACTCTTTAGGGATTTCTTGCTGAGAAGTGACAGATTTCACCCAGTAACACAACACTATTCACAGAAGCAATGGGAAATACCAGTGGAACCAGATCTGTGGGACAAGGGCGTTTACTTTTACCATGACAAAACAGGCATCAAGGAAGCAAGTAAGTCGCACTGTCAAGTCCCACTGTAGTTACGTGCGTGCACAGTGCTAACACACCATAATGTTTTCACAATCGCTTTAGACGAAACAACAGCAGGTAGATATGCAGGAGGGAACTGTTGCTTCCCCTTCACTAAAAGCATCAACAACCAGGTCTGGTGGTCAGTGTGTCGGCAGTGCGCTTATCAGGGGTGCTGCAAAGAACACATTTGGTACAATGCAACGGTAGCTCTCAACGCATATCACTTGGGGGTAATTTCGTCTTAGACAACAACTGACTTCTGACAGCTGCAGAAATTATAGACTGATTTTTCCATGACCTACAGATGGGGAAGGTACCAACAAGGTGAATAAGAAACATGCAGATTGGGGTCCAGAAACAGGAGATATTATTAACAGCACACATTCTATCTTGTATCCTACTTTTTATGTCATTAGCTGTATTTTCTTTTTCCCCGATAAAGCAGTGAGTTCTGGGTTTTTACCAGTTCTGACTATGCAGTCGCTGCTTTATGAGAAAGTGCTCACAAGACAGAATCGGGGCCACGATTGTAGAGTTCAGTTCTGCTCGGCATCACGAAGCCTGCATCCCACTGCTGTGATGAGTGCTGCCCCTTTCCCGCTACCATCTTCTGACAGCAGGAAGGTCACATCGCAGTTGGGTGCCAGGTCTTTGACTGTTTGGTGCATGATCCTTGAAAAGCTGGAAAAAGAAACAATGACAATGGGTGAGGGAGGTCCTGCAGCACCCAAAAGAGCGTAGCACTGCCACAGGCCTTTATGATGCCCCTCCCTTCACTGGGGAAAGAATTAGGACTGTCATGGCTTAACCTCAGCCAGCATCTAGGCAGCACACAGCCGCTCACTCATTTCCTCCCCGCAGTGGGATGGGGGAGAGCATTGGAAGAGTAAAAAGTGAGAAAACTCGTGAGTGGGTTCAGATAAAGACAGTTTAATGGGACAGACACGAGGCTGGATCTGAAGAGTGGGAGCAGTGGGAGTTAAAGGAAAAATGCACTTGCATCCCACCCCTGCCTCTCTGTCTTTGTGGGGTTAACCCAGATTGCTAGTATCACAGCAAAGCAGAGAGAAGACACCATGCACAGTTGTCTCCTTCCTACACATCTCATGCACACCAGACAGAGGCACTAGTCCTCTTCTCCTCCTGCTGCAGGCTCTTTTAGACTCCTGCCCTGACCTGCCATTGCTTTGCAGCCACCCATCTCCTCCGCACACTGAACAGAAACATCCTGCAAAGAGGCACCAGGCATTTCAGCACTGCTCTCTCATTGCCTTTGCATAGCAAAGAGATCCTTCCCTTGCTATACAGCTTCCAACATGCTCATCAAGCTGTGTCCCCTTCAGTTAGTCACTGCCCCAAGGATCCTTTCCAATTCCTTCTTGTCTCTCTCGTTGCCCTTTAGAAAGCCCTGGTCACTCATATTTAAAACTTTTTAACAAGCTCTTACCCTAGCAAATAAAAGAGACCAGTTTGGTGCATCAAGAAAAATGATGTACAAGCAACAAGCTACAGACCACAAGCAAAGACATGTGGAGAAAATGAATACTTACTGTGGATGTAGTTTGTAGA